GTATACAGTACATCCGATTGAATAAAATTTTCATTCCATTTTTTAATTATGAGATCGAAATTCAGTGTTCGCTTTGATCGCATTTTATTCTCAATATTCTATCCCAACGAAAACCCAAATATATGCACTAGAATATAAAATGAAAAAGTAAAGCTTAAATATATAACTTTATATAGTTGTTATACGTTTTCATCGTTTTTTGTATGGAAACCGACCAGCGTCAGCATGAGACGTCGTCCTGGAGAAGATTTGCAAACGCGGTGTACTTTATCAATTTCTTTCTTTCTTATCGTCGTAATCTTTTGTCCGCTACTGTACATTGCATAATGGTCTGGAAAGCGGTAATTTTTGGCCGGAACTCAATTTTTAGACTTTCACATTTGTACATATTTTTTTCTTTCTCAAATAGGGACCATTTAAAACATTTAAAACTGCAACTTTCAACGAGTTTTATACAAAATTTTGTATATAAAATTTGAGAAACATAATTTTTGTTATAAGCAATTCAAGTTATTTCGATTTTTTTTCTCTAATATTAATATGTACTTTTTAGTTTAATCTATTATCTGCTATGTTATTATGTTGTCATGTTTTTTAATATGTACTATGATTTTAAATCTTCTAATAACGCTAAAATAAATTTGGGTCACCGTGCATTATTTTTGTTCATGATACACTACGTTTAGGTGTACACAAGAGGAGGTGAAATTATTCGTTGATTGACAACAATCATAAAAATGAGCCATGAGGCTCGAATAATCGTATCTCCTCTTTCCAAACTGTCCATTTTCGTTTACAAGTTGAGGGACATTTTGAGAAAATTTACTGTGCAAGGAGCCACGAAAATATTCGCATGTCTTTTAATATAGATTTACTTCTCTATAATTTGGCCGTGTGATTTCAATATTTTGGAAATGTCAGAGGTACCAGTTCGTTAGACAAATCAAAAAAAATTTAATAAAAAAGAAGAAATTTCTGCAAAAATTGCAATTGTTTAGAATGGATATAGACATGAAAAAACCTACGTTTCTTCACATTTTTCCCTTGGTCTAGAACGAAAATTTTAAAGTACACGTACGTAAATCTCGGTGATTTATATGCACGCTGATAAATTAATTGATACTGGGTGACGTTAACAGCTCCGGACTAATTAAAGATAACGAGAATCGCAGTTTTTCATGACTGTTGACCGATAATATAACTTGGAAAAATCTCGAGACTTTTAAATCTTTCAATGAGTGTAGCTTATCGTTGCGTCAATTGATTTCGATGAAATTTTCGTCGTGCGTATGAGTTCACGAGACTTACGAAACGCATTGTTTAAATTTTTGTTCCGGACTCGGACAAAAAAGGTTGAGAACCACGATTTTCTTACTTTTTGTCACGCCAACCAGCTGCATATTTGACAAAGATTTATTTAACCATTGTCTAATAAACTAGTTCCTCTTACATCCAAAACAAAAAGAAAGAAAATGGAGCCATTTGATCGAATTTTGAAAAAGGTTATAACATATTAAAGAGCGTTTGACTACTATCGTGGCGCACTGTATGTATTACAGTGGCCCACGGAAGCATTGCTAAAAAATAACAATTTTTGAAAAATTTTAGTGGACAAGATCAGCAACGGAATGGTGTTTATTAGTCAATTATGACAAAACTATGCATTTATGACAGAAACGAGTTGATGAAATAGAAAACAGTGACACTACTAGAAAAGTTTAACACTTTGATTGCATTATTCATAACTCATTCAAATTATTTAAAGCAGAAATGAATGTCTATAAACTCTTGTTTCGTGCAATTGACGCAAAAAAAGAAATAAGAAGCTTTTAAGTTCATAAAAATAATTTGGAATTAATAAATGAAATTGAAATTGAAATTGAAATTGTTTACGCCTGCAAAATTATTGGGAATCGAAGAGAATTTGAATTTCGAAATTAATAAAATGAATATGGAATTAATAATTAAAATTTAAATTAAATTTTAATATAGTATGCTATTGTTTTAGATAATTATCTTATATTACAACTCTTCAATTCCAGGTAATTTTGCAGATTCCTATAGAAAGATATTAGAGAAAATAATAATAATAATCATTCATTAAGCAACTCATAAATTAGAACTTTGCTCCACCTTTTCTTTGAGTATTTAATAACAACGAATCTACTAACTAGTTATTAGCGACCATTTAGCTTGATGACTGTTTTCGCTCATAGATAATTATATTGTCATACAAGCGTCCGTTTAGGTTGACGACTCTCTTCGCTCACAGATAATTATATTGTCATACAATAGCAGAAGTAATGCTTTTACTGCAAACAGTATGAAACTGTAATTATTGTTACGTTGTTGTTTTTATATTTTCTATGTAATATGTTATATACATATAACATCTTAATAGAAGAATAGTTTATATATGTATTAGAAGTTTTATTTTTTTTTTATAATTAATCTGCAGATAGATCGACATAGTTTTACTAGCTACTACAATTTAAAGCTGTAAAAATTCCTTGCTACTTTATGATGAGCATTCGCTGAGTGAAAGTTAGGTTTTTAGGATCAGTCGGTATACTGCTTTATCGAAAGATCTCGCTCAAAACATAAACTTTAATTCAGACGAAGCATGACGTCATTTTTTGAAACAAAAATTATCATTTACCTGATTCAGTTTCTATTATTTTTTAAATTAGCGGTGATGATACTTGCTGCATCTCCAGAGTGTATTATGTCAGCAAATGTTC